CCCAAAATATCTGCGTCCCCCCCCTTTTTTCTTTTCTTCTTTTTCCTTCTTAACTGCTGGTCCGAGACTCATTTGAGATAAGTGCAGCCCTTCGGGCACAAATTGCGGATCAATAGGGGGTGAGAAGTGGTATGCTCACACAGGAAAATACACCTGCTTTTCTGAGCTTTCATGCCTAACCATCAAGACAAAGCATGAATAATGCTAGGCATTAACCCTCGATAAGGTTGTTCTTAGATTTGTTGCAAGAGATGCTAATAACCAGGGGAAGGGTTAATATTAGTCCCTATCAGTCCGACCAAGTTTTAGATCACTCGCTCGTTTACTGAGARCCACTRCCCGTTTACTGRGAAGCGGGTAAGTTCAGAATRARYTGCTCCACATAACTCTCCTYCCCATACAGAGTAAACTCATGGGAAGGGTTTTGTTAATCTCCATCAATTARGTRTTTGGCGAGGAGATAAGCAACCTTCTTCAAGGCRGACTTACRCCYGCACATTGATCATAAGATGAAYGYTTRCTGCAAGCTTGAGCACACCAGATAATCAACAGAAAAAGAAAAACCAATCATACTAATCAACAGCCGAAGAAGCTGCCTCTTTAAGAACTTCTCCGACTGGCGGATCATAAACAAGAACCCGAATCCAGCTCACTCAATCTTATAATGTTGCGAAAAGAATTAACACAAGACCAAAGCACGAAACAGGGGGATGTTGATTTGACACTTCCGTCATCAATTCATCGTTATTAAAGAATAGCTCGTTGTTTTCCTTTTGAAGCTTCCCCTATTCCGATAGCTGCTCCTTTTGAACTCAATCCAGACGAACCACTGTTAGCCACAGAAGAGCTACAATTAGCCAGTTATCAACAACGTTAAACAGGCTAACACTACAGCGTACTTAGCTGTTATGCGATACCCAAGCCTGCCTCCCGGGTCTGTGTTCAGTCGCAAAATTATCCCGTCAAGGGAGAGCCAGGTCACACAGAAATGCAACGGACGTACACGGTCAGCTTTGCACGCTTGGTCCCATCTTCCGTCCAACTCACACTGTTAGATCCGATGTCGGGCATCACCCATGATAAAACGAGTCCATGCTTCGCCTACTTCTCCCTGTTAATGCCGCTCATGCCTCACCCTCTCTCCCTCAATCTTGCTGAGTATTAACGACGAGCTCATCACGCTTAGAATGCGAAGATAGGAAACCGTTGGCACCAGTAGCCCTCTCGGAGGAAAAGACCTCCTTTGCTGTCCCCACTCTCAGCTCATCCCTTCACGAGATTCCTGCGGGTGGTCGTGTGACTGAACTGCAATGGAGACGAGAAAGGAACAACAGACTTCCCGCCTAAAAAGTGCGGAGACATCATTCTTGTCGCTTTGACGAGAATAAAGTGAGACGTCAACCATATTGCACACTTTAGCCTCTCTCCTCTCCGTCGCTCGTTCACACGTGTGTATTCCCTCCACACGCCCTTTTTCTCCTGACTAAGCCACACCATAAGAGGCTTACTGCAATTGAACAAACACTGGACACCGCGATTGAGCGCAGTGATCGCGGTTGACGTCAACCATATCTTGCAAAATGGCTCACCCTGCTCGCACTCTTCCTACTCGTGCGTCCTCCAGGATGAAGTTCTCTCTTTAGCTTTTCCACACACAGCCCCTTCTCTGTGTTGCTCCGCCCCCTTTTCAAGTGTAGCCAACCACCGTATAGCCGCCTTGCCCTTCTTTGACCACTCCAACGCTGGATGGAACGGGGTCCCGAGTCGCACGCCACGCGTCGACTGCAAAGTGGCCGTCTCCGAGTGCACAACCACCTTCACCTTCGTTCAAGCTCAGCTCGTCATTGCCCGACTCTCTCTGATACTTCTCACACTCTTCCCGTCAGAGGGCAACTAAGAAAGGCGACGGTAGCGCATGCTACGGAGAGCGACTATGACGACATCCCTTGTGGGCGGCGTGAGAGAGCGATCTGACTGGCGCGTGAATGGTCATGGGAGTCGACAGTGCTGGGTCCGCTCACGAACTGCGCGCGAAAGCTAGTTCCAAAAAAAAGTTGACGTCAGTCGTGCTCTGCAAGCTCGTCTCGTTTCCCGCTGACACACACACTTGTTGATTGCCCTCCTCTTTCAGGGCTCGTCACCTGTCGCGCTTGTCGCCCTTTCCCCCTTTTTCTCACACCCGTTTCTTACCCTTACTCTGTTTCCCTCCGGTCCCGCGGCCTCCAGTCCCGCGGCTCCTGGGAGTCAGCTGTCGTGAGCTGGCCTCGGGTCCCTTCTCCACTGGTTCCGCGGCTCGGTGGTGCCTTTGGATCTCCTCGGGTCTGTTCCAGGACCTGAGATCCGTCTTACAGTCAGCCTCGCTCATTTCACTCTCCCCGCCTGAGTCTCTCTCGTTAGGCTGCTCCTCCCTTGTCTCGGTCCCAGTTGATGATTCGGTCTCGTGATAGATGACCGTCACTCTCAAGCCCACGGTCACCCCATCTCGTCTGCATCTCCGCTCCGCCCTGTCGCGCGCTTCGGAAATGGCAGCCTGCAGCCTCTGGTCACCTCGCATCTCCTCCTCTCTCCCCCCTTCAATGCAGACTTTCAGCCGGACTACCTCTCCCCAATCATAGTTCAGGGCCATCGTAATCTGAGGGCCTTCCCCCGACACTGGAACCCAGCACACTGTATGCCGCCAACACCCCGGCCTATAGCCGTGTACTGCCATTGCCACTCAGGATAGCCGAGAACTTAATCTCCAGGCGCTCGCAGAGAGATAGCGCCTTACAGGCCCCGAAGATCCGCCCTCTCTCTTGCCTCAAGCCCGCAGCGCTAGTGCAAAGGAAACACTCTGCGACAGAAAGTACTCTGCAACTAGTGTGTGTACCGCTAAACTCTCCTCCCCCTTTTCTTTTTATAGGCCGTAACTCTGAGTACTAAAGGAAGAGACCAGCTCTAGTCCTTTCAGAATTTTTCCTTCATATTAGCAGTTTTAATATTTCCAAAATGGAAAACAAGGCAAAACTTAATAATTCAAAAACGAAGATTCAACGGTCGAAGTACGGTCCGAAACCACTATGCCGCTGCAGAGTCACTAATCATTACGACGGAACGGCGACCCAATCCGGTATCCCATAGTGAAATACCGACGGCGCACCTCTCTCCTCAAAAATAGACCGCCGACATACTTCTACCGGGTGCCCATGTCCGATGGTAAGGAGGAGGCCTATGACCCTCCATTCGGGGTGATAAGTCTCCTACAGATGCGGCCGCGGGTTGCCCCTCTTTTGGGGTCCTCCCGCGCGACGCCCAGCCAGGCAAGCCCAGCACAAGCAGCTCATGAGGGGTCACTCCAATCTAGGCCGTAGGCAGTATTCGTAACTCATGCGAAGCGAACCGTCAACTCCCCGCGATATGACAGACCGAAAGAAAACCCATGCCTGACGCTCGCATGAAAAGAGAACCAAGTAATAATACCAATATTAACAATAATAATAATAATAGTAATAATAATAATAATCATAGAAAGGGAAAGGGTGGCGTTCTCAGAATCTCTTCACGCTGCAACCTCTCCCGAATAGCGTCCCAAGTTCGCGCACAAATTTAAAACCCGATTTTCGGTCTTTTTCCCTTCCTTCTTTCTTCTTCATATTTTTTCCCTTCTTTCCTTCTTTTTATTACCTCCCCGTTTCTCAGTCATTACTGTATCTACCCCTAAACTCAGCTTCTAGGGCCCAATGCGCAGTCGGAACATACACACAGGCTACCTTTTCCCCTTCCCTACACTTGGTCCGAATCACGACCATTAGGGCCAGACGGTCCTTTTCGACCCCAAGCAGGGCCAGGTTGAACTGACAGCGACCACGACTTGGAAACAGGACCGCTGGCCTCCCCCGCGAAGTGACAGGACCCCAACAAGGAAAAGGAATCTGCGTCTGAAAATCAGCGAACTAATAGTGATAAAATAATAGTAACAATAAAAATCAAGAGAAAAAGGGAAAACTCAAACGATACAGTAGACAACCGTCGCTGAATCTCTCTGAACTAAAGCAACAGTCCTGATCCACGTGCTGATCAGGTTTTCCACTTTCTTTTCTTTGCTTTTTATATTTTTGTTTTCCCCCTTTTATTCTCTTTCGTTCAGCTTTTTCTTCCCGACAGCAGTCGTTTCCACGCACCTAACCCATAATTTGGCTAGAAGGAGCTCGGCGCGCAGTAGAAAAGCTGCGCCAGTCCCTTTACCTTCGTGTCCCAGGGCGAGCCCGACGGCTACCACGGCCACAGGCCGGTTGTGCTCTGCTGTACAGCAGGGCGCCGAGCCTGCGTGGACAAATGGAAAGCCCTGTGGCGCACCTTTTGTTGAGGCAAGCACCGAACAGGGTTGGTCCACGTCATGGTACAGCCCGGGTACCAGGGAATTTTTAATTTCGGAACATGCCCGTAGGCACCACATAGGTCACGACACCGAGACAAAGGGCAACATCAGGTAGGGACCTGGTATACAGAGGAGGGCCGGGACACCGCGTCCTCTGACAACGTGCGCAACCTCTTGCTCCAATGCCGGTAGCCAGCCCGCGAGCAATCACTCCAGCAGCGCTGCCGCCAGCCAGCAAGTGACCGAATGAGGCTGCCAGTGGAGAGCTCTTTCCTTTATGGAAAGAGCTGGCCTGCTTGCCCTGCCTGGCTGCCCTGGCCTGGGCCCAGAAGCTTCCGAAGGGCCCAGGAGGCTGCCTGTGTACAGCAGCTACTGGGCTGCTGGGCCTCGTTCGGTTGGGCGCTCAACTGTCTCTGTATAAGGCTGCGATTCACGCCCAGGGCCTGCATTCTTTGGAAAAGCCCAGAGGGCCGTGGAAATGTCTTTGTGGCCCGGCCTGAGTTTCTCTCAACCAACTGGCGCGTCGCAACTGCCTGGACCCCAAATATGAAATTGACTTTTGCGATATGTCAGGCCCGCCTTCACTTAGGGCGGGCAATACTACAAACAGGGCCCCTTAGGCCTACCGAGGACCTTGATCCTCGCATTCCCTCCTCCTTTACTTCGTTAGTCCTCTGAGAAGTCTCTTACTCTGCAGGCATCTTTCCTTTTCGTTCTCGTTCATAGCCTACAATCACTTGAGGTGCTGTTCTCATGAGTTCCTCTCGTGTGAACCAACGATCTTCATTGGGATCGAGGTGATGTCTGAAGCTCACACGATACTGCCTTCTCGGTTTAGGAGGGCGCCCTCTGCCTGATGGTCGAGGAACAGGCATCATTCGATGCTCCACAATCTGATCGATGTCCACCTCGCCGTCCATGGTTGGGGGCAGCATTGATCTTCTTGAAGGAAACTGCTCCGTAGCAGCGAAAGGTGCCAACTTGGAAGCATGGAACACAGGGTAAGTGCGTAGGTGTGTAGGAATACGGATCATGTATGAAGGCCCATCTGGTTGATCCCTTACAATGTCCAAGATCTCCCAGGGCCCAAAATACTGTGGCATCAATTTTCTGGATATTTCCATCTCTTGACCTAGTTCAGATGACTTTACGCAAACTCTATCACCTACCTGAAAGTTAGAGGGCCGTCTATGCTTATTTGCAGATGCGATCATAGCATCCTGAGGCTTCCTAATATGTTCAACGGCCTGCTGCAGCATCTGTTCATATTTGACAGCAAAATCTATGTTGCTAGGTGCTGCAGTGGGTTGTCTTTCTGGTAGCAAAAAGTCAAGTGCAGTTTTGGGCTTCCAACCAAGATGTAACTGGTTGGGAGTCATACCGGTAGCACTATGCACAGCGTTGTTGTACAGGCTGGCGACGAGCGGTAACTTCTCGTCCCAGTCATCCTGACCTGGATTAATATAATGTCTAAGCAGGTGTTGTACTACTCGGTTCATCTGTTCTGCCTGGCCATTTGACTCAGGGTGATTCCCTGAGGTCATTTGGAGTTTTGTGCCCATCTGTTCAGCGGTTGACTGCCACAGTTCACTTGTGAATCTCACATCCCTATCACTAACGATAGATGTAGGCAAACCGAAATCACGTACCCAATTATCCATAAACAGTTTGATGACGTGGCCAGTTTTAGCACTTTCAGGCATAGCGATTAGTCYRGCATAYTTAGAAAAACGATCCACTATAACGAAGATGTGTCTCTTTCCAGACCTGCTGGTCACAAGGGTGTCCATAAAATCCATAGACACACTCTGACCTGGTCCTTCAGGAATCGGCAAGGGCTTGATTAGCCCAAGCGGTGCCTGGGTTCTTGGTTTGTCCCTTTGACAAACCTGGCAGGTTTTTGCATCTAACATCGTAGAGGGCCACCGGAATCTCTGTACTAAGTTCGCTGATGTCTTCTTGTATCCAAAATGACCAGTTGCATCATGGCATTCTCCTAAAAATAAAGTACGCAAAGACTCAGTACTGGGAACACACAGTCTTTTATTCCCTGCCTTTTCAAGAAACAACAAGCCGTCTACCATCGTAAATCCGCCCAAAGTCTTTTTATCCTTTGCCTTGAATCTACGGATGATCTCAGACATAACTGGATCTTGCTGATAGGCGTCCACCAATGATCGAGTCAAATCGCTAGATATGCCAAACTCAGTCACTAGTGCGCCCAGATAATCCGCCTGGCGAGATAACGCATCCGCCACTTTGTTGCACTCTCCCTTGATTGGATCAAGTTGATAGTCATACATGTCTATCACTTGTATCCCGCGCTTGAGTGCGTCAGAGAGTACTTCCTGAGTCTTGATCCAGCGCAAGGTCTCATGGTCAGATCTCACATAGAAGAATCTGCCAAGGAGATAGTGTCTCGAATGTACCAGCGCTTTGTACAGGGCATAGAGCTCACGCTCATAAGTGGACTTAGCTAGTTTCTGAGATGACATATTTTTGCTCATGTACTCGATAGGTCTTAACTTGGGCCCCTCCTTTTGCGCAAGGACCGCGCCTATGCCATATTGGTTGGCGTCTGTGGTCACGACAAACGGCTTATCAGGATCAGGAAGTTTACGAACCTCATAGTGTGTCAGGGCGTACTTCAGTTTCCTAAAGGCCGCCTCACACTCTTCAGTCCACTCCCAAGGGGTGTCCAGTCGAGTTAGATCTGTCAATGGGAAAGCTATAGTACTATAGTTCTTCACAAACGGACAATAGTAGCCCGTCATCCCCAAAAACGATCTGACCTCAGTAACAGTCTGAGGTCTGGGCCAGTCACGTATGCTGACCACTTTGGCATCATCCGGCCTCAATCCATCAGCTGAGATTTCATGACCCAGGTACAAGATCTTGGTGCGACCAAACTCACATTTCTCCAAGTTAACCTTGTACTGGTGCTGTCTTAGGAGACCTAGCACTTTTTTCAAGTTCTCAACGTGCTCCTCTACAGTCCTACTAAAGATGAGAATATCGTCGAGGTACACGACGATAAACTTGTCTAAGTAGTCATGAAAAATCATRTTCATCGCGTGCTGGAACGTACCAGGTGCATTGCATAGTCCAAAGGGCATCACCACAAACTCGTATAGACCGTACCTGGTCTGAAATGCGGTTTTGTGCTGATCCTCAGGCCTAATGGCAATTTGATGGTATCCGGACTTCAGATCTATCTTGGTGAAGTACCAGCATCCCTACACTCTATCCAAAAGGTCGTCAATGTGGGTTAGGGGCTCCGCGTTCTTAACGGTGATGGCATTGAGGCCCCTATAGTCAATGCACATCCTCAAGGTACCTCCCTTCTTCGGTACGAATAGGACTGGAGCGCCGTAAGGGGAGGTACTAGGCCGAATCCATCCCTTCTCTGTGAGCTCCTTGAGCTGGCGGCGAAGCTCATCTAACTCCGCAGGAGACATCCTATAGATTCGTCCTCTAGGCACCTTGGTACCTGGGACAACCTCTATTGCATGGACAACCTCCCTTTCCACCACGCCTGTGGGCTCCTCAAAAAGGTCTGAATATTGTGCGACTACTGATTCTATCTCTGGGGGTGTTTGAACGACCTCCCCTTTCTCAGAGACAAATACTAGATACATGCCCTCCTCGCGATTCTGCTTATAATAGTTATAGAAGGATGATGCACACATGCACCCGTAGTTTTCTATTAGACTGCTAGCTTTGAACTTTTGCAATCTAACAGATCTACTGTTGGGCAATTTGTGAATCAATACCTTTCTATCCCAGTCAAACTGCGGTTGCACGACCTCGAGGAAGTACATACCTAGGAGCATATCAAAGGGCAGTTCGTCGCTAACTAGGAAGGAGATTTTATGACTCACTTCCCCTCCTCCATAGGAGAAGGTACAGACTATGTCCTTGACATCGTCTTTTACCAACATTTGGTGCTTGTTGGCCAGCGTAGAAGCTACAGTTCTGCTAAGCCGCTGCACTTGGTCCCCTAAGCGCAATCTATCCACACAAGCACGACTGATGAAATTTCGCGTAGAGCCTATGTCTGCGAAGGCGCCCACTTTTCGGCCACCTACATCAACTTCTACCACGAAATGTTCACCCTTTGGACCTTTACTGATCATTGCCCAAGAGTCCCAGGGGTCCTTCCCTGACCACTCAGTCTCTTAACTCCTTTAGGGCCTCAGACACATCTCTCGAACAGAGCGTCGGTGGGTCCGAATGTGTCTGTGGGGCGATACGTGGGTCTCTAGCCTTGGCCAACGCCTGAAGTGGGGAAGGCAACGTTACCACTTCAGCGCGAGTAAGAGTGGCTAGAACTCCTACTGGCCCGGGGTGTTTCCTTGTGAAGTGCTCGCAGAAGCACCGCCAGAGTTCGAAGAAAGTCCCACCACCGTTGGTGAGGCTACCCTCGTTAAGACTTTCTTGCCTCGGCACGTTCGAGACGTGTGGCCATAGTTGCCACAGTTCATGCATGTGCCCCTAGCAACTCGGTCCCTTCACACCTCATACTCTAAACCAAGTTTTACCCATGCGGGTGTTCCTTGGTCGCCCTGACCCGTGGACCGTACTACCTTCTTCTCCCCGGTCCCCCTAGCCTTTTCCTTGATGGGTGCCACGACTCCCCCATCCGAAGTCTCACTAGCCCCATCTTGCTCTGTCACCTCCCCAAGGTCTGGGAAATCGTCAACTCCGTCGTTTGACCATCATGGTCAACGAACATCAACTGACCCTTCTTCTTCCAGTGTTGGGGAAGTCTCTTCCTACCATCATGAGATGCCAGATGCGCGGATCCTAGCTTTGTCTCTATGTCCAGAGCTTTTTTACTAAAAGTAGCGAAGCTGTGCTGTTCGACATAGGCTTCATCAACCAGCTTGGTCCTTACCTCAGCAGGTAGGCACCTTAGGTAATCCGTCAGGAGAACCTGCTGGTCAAAACGCACACCAGGTACCACGAGTAAATGTTCTACGGTGTTCGTCAGCTCTCTAACATTCTTGAATCTGCGGGAACAAAGATTGTTGATAGCATCGGTGGCCTTCTGAGCCCCTTGCGGGTCATGCCACCTGTTATACACGGACCGTACGAACTCCTCCAATGACTGGGCCTGTGCCCAGGCATCGAAGTTTTGACCGTAGCCCTGCGGCTGCACTAAGCCATTCAACCAGCGAGTTGCTGACCCTTCTAAAAAGGAGGCAGCCACTACAACTTTCTGCTTTGGCCTGGTGAGCTTGTGCCTCACATAAGTAGGCACAGTCCTCACCCAAGTGTCTAAGTCCTCATCCTTCTTCCTATCACCAGAGAAGGGCTTGGGACTCATCAAAGGTATCTTAGGCATCCACTGCATAGGCTGCATGGGCCCAGGGGCTTGCTGCAACGGCTGCATAGCCACTGAAACAGGCTGTTGCACACTAACCTACGCCTGGCTTGACAGTGGGACTGTAGTAACCACTGTCGTAGATGGTACGACCGAGACTCTATGAACCGGACCACTAGTTGCTACTAAACCACCTGGAGGGGGTATGCCAGACATAGGAGAGAAAGTCGGCCATGTGTGTTGCGGCATCGATGAAGGACCCGCACCTGCAGGGGGAACTACAGCAAACTGTGGCTGCCTCATCATTGTACGAGGATCCCGAAGTTCAGCCAGGATTTGTTTCTGGCCTGCAACCAATTCGGCCAGCAATTCCTGCTGGACATTTTGCGCTTCTGCCACCGATAGTAAAGCATTACGCAGCACACGGACAACAGGGTCTAATGCCGCCTCATCTAGTCCTTCCAGCCTGCCTAACTCCTCTCTTCTACTACCTAGTCTAGCTTTTCTCAGGATTGCTTTCCTTCTTCTCTCTGCTGCCTCGTCCAATTGCCGTTGTAGCTCATCCTGAAGTTCTTCTGCTTGCCGGATTTCTAAATCCTCCAGCATGAGTTGAGTCTGCTGGCTGACTCGCAAGCTAGCAATCTGACTAATTAACCCCTGAGAACCACTCTGACTGACTCCTGGCGAAGTGGACTGTGTAGAGGTTTGCGACATAGATGAGGTAGCCATGGTTGCACCGGTGCTAGTTGAAACTCTAGTCCTGGCACTATCCTCAGCTGCCCTCGCTCTTCTTGCTGCTGCTCTCTCTCTAGCCTCTCTCTGCAATCTTCTCTCGTCTCCTGGACCTAACTCCAAGAATGTCAAGGGTCGACTACGGGCAGTCCCACTAGTAGTCCTACGGTTGTCCACTAACAACTCCTCCTCACTAGTGCTTGCATCACTCATGAGCCACAGTGTGTGTGATCTAAACTAGAATCCACACTGAATCCTACCTTAGCCAGACACACAACCGATTATGAAACACAACTAATTTCGGTCGGATGGAACAGAAACAGTTAGGTGATATAGTAACAACTAATGTCAGATCCTACATGAAATATCATATCTTATTTTAGATTATCCTAGAACAGATTGCTATACAACAAAGATCTAATTTGTCTGTAGCCGTCTGTCAGTTGTTAGTCAAGTCTGTAACAACTAGATAATCAAAATAAAAATAACATCTCCTGTTGGAGATGTATGCTTGATGGCAGATTGTCTGTTGATTGCCACTGCGAGCAGTTACCGGAATCCCCCCTCCCCCTGTATCCTTCTTGAGTGGTCACTTTGTGTCAACGTCCTGAGCATCTGGTTGAGCAGCGTGTCTGAAGGTGTGCAATCCGGCCCACCCCTGTGCCCCAAGTCAACGCCGAACCTGTCAGCCCCTGCACTTTATTTACCCTCGCATGCAACGAGCCTTACACCCGGTTGATCTGGCTGATCAGGAGGGATTTAAGGAGAGTCCCCATCTCCTCAGGAATTATTCAACGTCGCAGACAGGACAACGATCACAACCAGATTCAATTCTGAGTCCCCAGCCAGAAATGTTTAAAGACGGTCTGGTAAGCGTCTGTCAAAGGGCTGGCATGCCCTGCATGACCTCTATTGCGCAAGCAGCAGAACCAAGGACTTGCGGCAAAGCATGCGTGTACTAGTCCCAGCGGGTTGGCATGGTGACCGTGACCCGAGTGCTTCGTCCAGGGCACTTCAGAGGCTTCGCCCGTCTCCCACCAGCTTGCTGCCCAGGAAGAATGTCGACTCTCAAGGTTGAGCGCTCGCGACACCTCACATCGAGAGGACTCTCAAGACAGAACTCACTTCCTCACGGTAAGTAGTAACAAAGAGGGTAGATAAGGAAGAGAGCAACGTACCTCATAAATGCTGCCCCCAACCATAGATTTCTCACCGACAACCTGATGTGCAATTATGATGACTTGTCTTTGCCTTGGCACAACCAACAGCAGAATGCGGTTCCACCTCGGCTTAATATGCCACATCAGCGAGCTCTCATCATCCAGCATACACCCCGTATGTCACCATATAGCTCCCTGGCGCGCCCACACTACCCTGGGCCGCCTAATGTTCAACGCCAATGCCTTATCACTGCCCCACACCTCATGCGAAGCACCAATAGCTATTGCGAAGAACCAATGAAGCGCAATATGAACCAGCTCTGATACCAAATTGCAAGGAAAATAAGCAACAGCGAGATGACAGATCCAGATTACACCATCACATAAAAAGCCAGATAGTCACACTGTGTCCAGAGAGCAGCATTGCACCAATAATACACCAATGGAGGTTCGTAGTACTGAAAACCAATGTCATGGAGAGCTTTCTCTCTCCTTCAGCAACACAAGAGTCCAGTCCCTTCACACTCCTACTTGGCGCTCAGCGCCCAGCCTACTCCTACACAGCTATGATCAGCCTAATAATTGACAATGCAACTGTTGACATCAGCGGCAACCCGAAGTACTTGAAGATGTTGCCCATATGCTGACCATCGCCAATACAAGGTAAGTGCCCTCACATCATCATCATCATCATCCTTCGCCCTTCCCTGACTTAACACCCACACCTGTCTCTTGCACCCGAAGACCACCCCTGCGCCTCACTGTGTATCCAAGCCGAGCCCGCTATGGAGGCTGGCTATGGCGCTGCCCTCAGCAGCGCCCTGCTCCCACACACGACCGCACGTGCGCAGCCTCTTGCTCCAATGCCGGTAGCCAGCCCGCGAGCAATCGCTCCAGCAGCGCTGCCGCCAGCCAGCAAGTGACCGAATGAGGCTGCCAGCGGAGAGCTCTTTCCTTTATGGAAAGAGCTGGCCTGCTTGCCCTGCCTGGCTGCCCTGGCCTGGGCCCAGAAGCTTCCGGAAGGCCCCAGGAGGCT